ATGAGTGAGGTAGAGATGACCCAAAGCCTATAATCTCCAGCGTCCCAGAGACTAAGGGAGGATCGGATACGAGGGGCACCAGCTGATTCTGTGGTCTGTAGAGCACAAAATCAGGGGCTAGGGCTCCCAGAGCTTGAGAGATGCTCTGTCACCCAGTACTGACGTTTTTCACCAGGCCAAAAAAGGCGAGAGACCGAGGTCTCGATACAAATCCTAATTCATGGAAGTATGGCCACCCTCACCTGCCGTGTAATCTGCCAAGGTTCCCGAGCTTTATCATAACACAGCATACTGCCCAAATCCTTACACCACATGCTGGGATTAAAGGTGTATGCCATTACCACCTGGCATAGATATAGACAGATATAGATAATTCATTGGTGATTGGTGTATTGCTTGCATATATGTCTGTGTGAGGGGGTCAGATCCCCTGGAACTGGAGTTATAGATGGTTGTGAGCCACCATGCAGTTGCTGGAAATTGAACCAGGGTTCTCTGGAAGAGTAGCCAGTGCTCTTAACCACTGAGCCATCTCTCCAGTTCAAATCCAACATTTTTTTTTTTTTTTTAATGTGCACAGGTCTAGAGGAAAAGGGTGTGGATCATGGGAGAGTGCTTGTCTGCCATACTTGCAGCACTGGGGTTGATGGGCATGCTAGTCTCTTCTTAACCACTGCCAATTCTTAACTCTTGCTAAGCAGTATCAATTATCCCAGTAACACAAAGGTTTCACTTTCAATGGTGCCAATTTCTTGCTAATCATTGCATCTCTAGGGGAGGAGCTGCCATTTCACAGGCTTCCTGGGACTGAATAGGGTTTAGAGTGAGGGGTGTGTCCCCAGACAGAGCTCCACCTGAACAGAAAGCAAAGTATAAAACTCTGGAGTCAGTAAGATAGAATGGATGGCCGAGTGCTGTCTCTGAATTTGCTAAATACAAATGGATTTAATATTGTAAATATAATCCTTACTAGATAATTGTTTTTGTTGTGTATAGTTTTACTACATCAAAGTTAATTTATTTTTCATTTTTATTTAGACAAATAGGGGGAAATGCTGTGGACTATTATTTTAAGATGTGTTACATTTGTTTATGCTGTGGAACATTTGTTTTAATGATGCAAAGATGTTTATGTTGCATTTGTTTAACTCTGTGAAGCTGTGTTACTTTGCCTGTCTAAAACGCCTGATGGTCTAATAAAGAGCTGAATGGCCACTAGCTAGGCAGGAGAAAGGACAGGTGGGGCTGGCGGGCAGAGAGGAGAAATAGAAGGGAAACTGGGAGAAAGGAAGGGGATCCAAGAACAAGGAGAGGAAGACACTGGGGGCCAGCCACCTGTCCGCCACAGAATAAGAGTGAGAGTATATACGCTGCTGGTGGTTACTTGTCCTGACACTCCCTCTGCGGTTCTCAGCCCCAAAGCACAAAGATGCTGTATTATTAATAACTGCTGGCTGATGGCTAGGGCTTCTTACTGGCGAGCTCTGTCTTAATTATTAACCCATTTCTATTAATCTGTGTATTTCCACATGGTCTTGGCTTACTGGGGGAATGCCAGGACCTGTTACTCCTTTGGCCAGCTACATGTTCTCGTCTCCTGCCTACCTTTCCCAGAATTCTCCTTGGCTTCTAGTCCCTCCTATCTTCCTGCCTCCATTGGCCAAACAGTGTTTTATTCATCAACCAATGAGAGAAACATATATACAGGAGGACATCCACCATCAATATACCAAAGTAATAGAAAAAAAGCCCAGAAGCACAAGGTAGATGGGTTAATTTAAATTAAGAAATGATGGCTATAAATAAGCCAAGACCGGGCATTTATAATTAAGAGTAAGCCTCTGTGTGTGATTTGTTTGGGTGGCAGGCCCTCAAAGAATATGGCAAACATACTCACCCAGCAGGGAGTAGGATCTGGGTACAATCTGGACAGTGTGGCAAACCACCCTGAACACAGAGAAGGGGTAGGGTCATCTGGCCTGATGACCCCATCTAGGCAGAGTCTGGGGGAGGCATGAGAAAGGCTTCTATGTATAGGGATATAATAATATAGTCACACTTGTAGCAGTTCAGTGTTAGGAGCCCACAAACACGGAGTCTGCTCTGACTATACACATCTTCCAAACAATGCCTTCACGACTGTTTCTCCAATGGTCAAACTCCTAATCATCTACCAAGACCCACTCAAAAGCCCCCCCCCAAAACCCAAAGAATAAAGAGTCAAATAGTAAAAACAACCAACAGCAGGTGTGTCCCTGGAGGTGGGCTCTGAGATGCTCAGGGCTCCATGCCGGTCGCAGAGTCTCGCTCTCTTCAGCCTGTGCATCGGGCTAGAGCTCTGAGTTACTGGTCCAGTGCCTCCCCACCTCCCCACAGTGCTGTACCACACCCAGTGGGTTTTTATTGTTTTTTATTTGTTTGTTTGTTTGTCAATGGGCATCAGTATATTTTTATGTTTATTTGAGATAGTGTCTCATTATATAGCTCAGGCTGGCCTCAAATTCACACTCCTGCCTCAGCCTTTCAAGTGCTAGGGTTACAGGCACACCAGCCACCACATCCAGAAATCACTTGGCAGCTTTAGTTGAACCTCTTGTCAACATAAATTCAACAGAACTGAAATCTACTTTTTTTTTTTTTTTTTTTTTTTTTTACCACTAATCACGCCTCTAAGGTTCCAACACTTTACACTTCACCTCCCAATACCCTCCTCTGTACCCTCCTCACTGGGACTGTCACTAGCGCAATCTCCATTGCTCTTCAATACCATATCCATGCAAGATGGTGTTCATGGATTCCTGTCCCCCCTACTGCTTTTAACTGTTTATCACTGTTTTACCTAAATGTATAGAAATGTAAGCCTAGGTACTGACAATTTTACTCCAAAATAAAAACAAAACCAAGTAAAATGCAAATAGCAGCACAAAACCAATGAAATTTAAATTAACAGTAAGTGCCATATGCTGTTGACCAAATTGCTGTTCGTGTTACAGCCCTGCCAGCCTGGACCATAACAGCTACTGACGTACCTTTTACCAAACCTTGACTCACACAGGAATGCTCTGACACAGACACACCATCTACTTAATAATTTCACTTCTGTTCTTATCAGTTTAGGATGAAGTAACTTGGTTCCATAAATGCAGAGATGGATACAGGCATTGAAACTACAAACTTATACTGGAATACACACCAATATAAGTAAGTCTGAACTTTTCTTAAATGGTAAATATTCATAACAGCATTACTACAATAGTCCAAAGATGAAAGCAACACCACATCAATGGAGGGAGGAAGGATGATCTAGCACCACTGTCCATCAACAGAAGGAGGGAGGTTGAGCTTAGTATGGTGTATACACAAACACAATGTTGTTCAGCTTCACAGGGAAGGTGGCGACACCTAAATCAACTGAGGACACTGTGCTGAACAACGTAAGCCAATCACAGGAGACACACATGCATTGTACTTGTGTGAGGTGTGTGAAATAGATTCACGGGGACTGGGGAGGAGGGACCGGGAGCTAATACTGGCATGCAGTGTTTCAGTTTTATCAGAAGATTTCCCTGAATGGATGGTGATGACTGTACAACAATGTAATGAATTTACCACCACTGAGTAATAAGGTACTCATAAGTGTTTTACCATAATAAAACTCAAAATTGTAATGTCAGATTTAGACAGAATATTAAAATGTTTGTTGAGAACTGAGACTTTGAATATTTCTACACACTCCTCCTCCCAGCCCAGACCCTTTAACTGGTCCTCCTATGGTGCTTCTAGTGCACTTGGAGCTCTGACAGCCACCTGGCTGCTCAGTACATCCCAGGTCCCAGGTCCCCTCAGCTCCCCGATGGAGGCTCTGAACTCTAAGGGGCACATGTTCCACACAGACATGCTTAGGTTGTCTTTTATGTTCTCTTTGCATTGAATGCTGTTCAGGCCCTGCTCAGGCTGGCCCCACCCTCTGACTTCTGCAGCCCTCATTCGCTCATCATTTATTTATCACAGGCTTAGGGATGTGTGAAGCCCGGAGCCAGTGCTGCGCTCTGGTGTTTGTCTGTTACGCCCTCGTATATCTTGCTCACATTTATTGTAGTTCTATTCTGGTCTGTACTGTCATATTCCACATTGCCATTTATTAGCGACGGAGTCTTGCTGTGTTGTACAGGCTGGTCTTATACTCTTAGACTCAATTTCCTGATGGTGGCCTCCCAAGTAGCCGATATTACATGTGAGTATCAGAGTGCCACATCTGACAATTTTAAATGATAGAAATCAAGAATGGCTTATTCTTTTTCCTTGCCTTCCTCCTCCTCCTTCTTCTTTTATTTATTTATTTATTTATTTATTTTTGAGACAGGATTTCTCTGTATTGCTTTAGAGTCTGTCTATCCTGAAACTCTCTCTGTAGACCAGGCTGTCCTTAAACCGACAGAGATCCACCTGCCTCTTCTGTCTCCCAAGATCTGGGACTAAAGGCCACCAACACCTGACAAGAATGGCTTATTCTAAGTTTTAGTGGTATGTTTTGTTGGTTTATTTTTTTTTTTTTTGAGCCAATCTTATAATGCAATGGTAAGTATAAGAAAAGTTCTGGATTGTATTCAATGCACAAAGGACCCAGACCTAGTCATTGGGGTTCCAGTGATGACAACTGCAGTTATATCCAATCATGCATGCCTGTGATCAAAGCATCCAAAGTTGGCCTCCTAATTACCCCCCACACATACACAAATGTGATACTCAGTGCTGTATTAGACAGACGTTTAAGGCCATTTATTATAGTCAACTTGCCAAACTCAGATTTGTTTTTTAAAAACTATATTTGAGCTCAGTATTTTGCGTGCAGAATTTTGCACAGCTCACTTCTTTTTGACAAAGGTAAAATACCCTCTGTATCTGCTGCTTTCTCATGGTGCTGCCTCTCTGACATGACCCCTTATTCGCAGTCACCCATGCTGGTCAAAGGCTTCATCTCTCTCACTGGCAGCCTTTTCTTCACTTTCTCTCTTTATGTTCTCGAGCATAGCTTCTAGGTGTAGGGTATGCGTTTCCGAGATCCACAACGATGACTTCCTTAGAAAACGTCACTCCTTTTAAAGGTCTTTTTTGGCTTTCAATGACTGAAGAACTTCTGTGACCATGTACGGGTATGCTGTCAGCATGCTCATCCTGCAATGAAGACAGGACAGACTGAATGAATGACTGACCTATGGAGACAAGAAGTCCAGGTTGTGAAGCATTGTCAACTGCACATTGTGAACAAGAATGGAGAAGGTATTTTCAGATGGTCTAGGCAGCCGTGATAGCTTTGTAGTTGCCAGATCACTATGGGTAGAAAACCCTGCACTGATGCCATCAGGGCTGAGAGCAATAGGGGCCAGCATTCTGTCTTGGAATGGGTATGGAGGTGTGTGAATGCTCAGGAACATTCTGGAAGTTTTTGTGAGTAGATGTCAAAGATTCCAAGACTGCAGCAAGGGCACAGGGCTAGCCCTGGGCTCAGCAGCAGAGGACAGTAGACACACACCCCAGTTTTTCATGTGACATGAAGTTTAGATCCAGGATGACATACAGGGACTTGTATAGCTCTAAGATCCCAGGAGTATAAGAAAAACAAAATGATGGGAAAATATTAAGAAAAACAGGAATGTAAGACTGAAAAATGAAAACTAAAAGTCTGTAGCTTGACAATACCATATCTAACTATTATCCCTGCATGGGTAACTCTCTTCATCAAACCTAAACAGTCCCTGAGAGCAGAACATACATCACCTCATGTAGAGCCTCATCCAGAGGCTCTAATGTGTGTTTGTGTTTGTCCCCCTCTTCTGCCTTGATGTTGTGTCCTGAGGGTAGGGCCGTCACGTCCTTACTCTGTCTTTGGACAAGAATGCCAGGTCTCACTGGCATGTCCATGTTTACGATGTGTAGTAGGACCCTGGGGAAACCAGCAACAGTTTTTAAAAATTCATGCACCCTATTCAACATTACCACATATAAAAATGGCTAGCACAGCCACACTTTATTTTGATGTATGTGTGTGTGTGTGTGTGTGCATTTATGTGTGTGCATGTGTGTATAAAGGTCAGAGGTTGTTATTTGTCATCTGGATGTCACTTCTTCACCGTGGTTTGGGGTTTTGTTTTGTTTTGTGGGTTTTTGTGTTTTGTTTTGTTTTAGACATTTGATGAACCTGAAGTTCACAGATCATCTGGATTGACTGGGTTCTGCCTGTCTCTGCTCCCCAGCTGGGGGTACAGGTGTTACTGCCATGTGCTGCTTTTTGTGTGGGTGCTGGGGAGCCAAACTCAGGTTGTCATGCCTCCTCAGCAAGCCCTTTCCCTAGACTCACTTTTCTTGGCCTTCGGGTTTGTTCATCTCTGCATTGGCAGATAAACAATCTTCACCTTCATTTTCATCGGGACAAAGGGGCTTCGCTGGCTCGTCAGCGGTATTGCCTCTGAAACTAAAAACAAGTAAAACTTCAGAAAAGACGATTCTAAGGTGTGGGACGGGACTTTTACTTCTAAACAGGGAACAGGCACTTCTAAAGCCTGGAAATGGGAAGAGTAGCTAGTTGCTACATTGCTTATTCTATCTTATTTGGGGTTTTGAGACTGGGTGATCTTGAAGAAGGTGTAATAAAGAACACCCTTGAAGTTCTAACCCTCCTGCTTCCACCTCCCAAATTCTGGGGTTACAGGTGTGACCAGCTTGTCTTTCCTCGTTCTATTTACAATGATTTCCTATTATTTCTAGGTACACTTGCTACCATAACGTGAAGCCTGGCCTCAGGCCATTAACAGGGCGTGTACCATTTATAGAAAAAAACTGCCAATAGGAGGAGGATACAAATGAAGCAGATGAGGAGGATGATGAAGAAGGTGATGGTTGTGGTCTCAAAGACCACAGGGCTTGATTTCGCAGTCTCGTCCATTTTCTCAACCTCATTTTGTCCAAACATTCTTTCCTAGCCCCGTTTGAATGCAGATTCCTTGTTCTTTATGTTTTCTGAAAACAGAAGAATAAAAGACTGTTTCCACTGCTGTCCTACCACTCTGGTGAGCCTCACAGAGGATGCCTGGGTGGTTTTGGTGGAAGGGACTCACGTTGCCTAATTTCTCTTCATAAAGGCGGTAAGGGGCTGTGATGGCCAGAGGGGAGACTGAGCTGGGACACGCTGATCACTCAGCTCAACTCCCCTCACCCCAAAATTGCCAAAACCCAAAGGCGAGAGGACTTGGAGCAGCCGGAGACGGACCCAGCTCTCCATTCTTCTCTCTTCAGTGACATCACAAAACCATGGAACTGTTGAGACAGAGACATGATCTGAAGGCAGGAAGGCCACTAACTTCTCTGTGGGCTGAGGATTGTGGCTGTTCTCCAAGGTGTGGCAGGGAGGCCACTTGGCACTGTCTTTTTTAGATCAGAAATTTCCAGGTTCCAGCTTTAATCTCCAACTCAAACCTTATTTATTGATCTTTTCACAGATGTGATCAACCGACCCACCTTCCTATAAAAATGCCCCTCTATATCCCTGTGTTCTCCTAAGGACTTTTCTCAGAGGAATGGCCTGCGCTCTTCACCTTACTGTGCAGGCCTCCTAGTCTCACAGCCAGGTGCTGTGAAGGCCACAGCTCAATGAAGCAGGAATACAACAAGACACTGAGTCAGATGATGAATGCCGGCCTGACCTAACCAGGTAGGCATGAATGATGCCTGTGGGAGCGAGGGCAAGGGTAGAGTTGGATTTTCCTAGATGAAAGCAATTTGAGAAAGGGTGTAACAATACTGGGCATGGTGACATAGGCCTGCAGTTCTAATCCAGCAATTGGGGTGATAGGGAATAAGGCCGGAAGATTATGTTTAAAATACCATGTATCAAAACCCTGTTCAAAACAAAAAGGAATGTTGCAGCTGCAGCCAACTAAAGAGGTTGAGGTGAGATCACACATGGAGAACACGAAGTAAACAGAAATGTATTCCTCACATCTGAGGAGGACGGAAGCCTGAGGCGGACTTCTTTCTTCTGGGCAGCATTATACTCCCTGAGGAAGTGGCAGAGCATGCTCTTCCACAAGCCCTTGTTCATGATAGCTGAGTCCACGCAGACTCCATCAAACCCATCCAGAAGCCTTAGCACTGCCACACTGGGGACACTGTGTCACAGGCGAACTTTGGAGGAGATACCTTCATGTCACAGAAGAAGTCTTTGGCTAGACTAGAGCAGCAATGTGTCCATCAGAAAGTGGGGGCTTAACCTCTTCATCTTTGGACAGTGTGTCAGGGAACAATTTTGCACAATCTGAGGACACTGGTGCCACCCCTGGCAGAGTGGGGACAATCCCTGGTAGACTCTCCCAGTCAAGGCCCCCACATGAAGGCACATAGCTCATAGCACACTTGCTGCTCTGTGGTTGTGAGACCTGGAGTCAGCCTCATCTTCTACACATAAAAGATGCTTTTGAGGAGAGGGAAATGACTTGTTTGGATCTCCTAATGGTTATAAAGATGTATTCTTATGCAAACCCCAAACAGTGTTCCTAATGCTGGGGCTCTGTGTGTCCACTGTGTGAACACTACCCCTCAGTGTGAAGGGGGATGGGCTGTTTGCAGGCCTGAGTGCTGGAGTGAGGTGCACTTGGAGATCATAAACGTAGATTTATGCAAAATAGGAAGCTATTCAAATTTGGTTTCTTTTCATTTTCTTTATTATTATTATTTTCTTATTTTACATATTGATCCCAGTTCCCTCTCCCTCCCTCTCATGCCCAATGACCTATTTTAAATGCTTGGGACTAAACTCAGTGAGGCTGCGGTCACTCAAGGATGGTTCTCCAGAGCCTCGCCAAATATGCCTGCTTTAAAACTCACGTGGGGCAGAATAGTACAGCAAGTTCAGTAGAAACGCAGAAGGGGATGGAGAGACAACCAATGTCGAAAGCACTAGCTGTTCCTTTCAGAGGACTAGAGTGTGGTTCCCAGCACCCACCTCAGCCAGCTCACACCCACCCCAGCCAGCTCACACCCACCCCAGCCAGCTCACACCCACCTCAGGAAGCTCACACTCATCCATAACTCCAGCTCCAGGAAATCCACTGCCTTTTTTGTGCGTGGGTGTTGCGCACGCATGCGCGCGCACACTCACACACACACACACACACACACACACACACACACGACAACAAAATAGAATTTTTAAAAAGGGAATAGCATAAAACATATATTAAAAAATTGGCTAACTTGGATGAAATAAGAAAATTCCAAGAACATAGAAGCTTTTCTGTCTAAATCATGAAGAATCAGAAAATATGGTTAAATCTACAGTGAGACTAAGTCAACAGAAAAACCTCTCCAAAAAATAAGATCCAATGTTGTGGCTTCAGTCTGGAATTCCACCAAAGCCCCCTCATAGCACTCCACAGAGTTGGACGGGTCAGCACTCTGTGAGACTGATGCTGCCCCGTTCTGTATGGAGGATGAGCTACATTAGTCATGCTTCCTTCCTTGAGTGAGTGAGTTCATTGATTGCGTAGCAAGCAAGAGTAAAAGAAAAGTATCATGTAGCAGATAGAAGCAGTAGATAGAACATAAGACACCATCAAAATGGGCACTTACAACATCCAGCAGGGATGGCAGGGAGATACTGGCTCCATGCTGGAGTCCTGGGCAGCAGAGTTCTTACCATGGCACACTAGGTTCCTGTTCTCATGCAGACACTTAATACCAAGAGGTAAACACTAGCCATACCTGCTGGAAATGATCTTTCCTCCAGCTGTTCTCAAGGATGTGATGTCCTCAATATACCCTTAGCTACTCTCCTTTCTCTCTGCCATGGAGTTAGTGGTTCAGCCTGCCCAGGATAGGGAGCCTTTGAGGGCAATCCAAGTAAACATGTCTGGGGGGAGCCCTTCCTTAATCCCAGAGACTCCTTCTTGGTAAGCACACGGCAGTTTACCAATGTAATTTATATTGTAGTCAGTCCTTAAATTGTTCATGTTTCTCTATAGAACATTTAAAAAATCTATTAGGTTGTTTCATAACATTTTTTAAAATTACTATTTTTAAGTTGTGTGTGTGTGTGTGTGTGTGTGTGTGTGTGTGTGTGTGTGTGTGTGTGTGAAGTTGGATTCCCTGGACTTGGAGTTACCAGTGGTTTGGGCCACCTGATGTAGGTACCATGAGTTGCACTCTAGTCTTCTGTGGTATTCTGTAAAGTAGTGCATCCTCTTGACTATTAAGTGCATCTCTCTAGCCCCTATTTATTTGATTTTGTATGTGTGAGTGTTTGTATGTATGTATGTGTGTGCATCACATGCATGCAGTTCCCACAGAGGCCAGAAGAGGGCATCATATTCCCCTGAAATTGGCCTTATAGAGGTTGTGAGCTACCTCTTAGGGTGCTAGGATTTGAACCTGGTTCCTCTGGAAGAGTGGCAAGTGCTGTTAACTGCTAGGCCACTTCTCTAGCCCCTTTGTAAAAAAATAATTAGAACTATAATTATCATGAAGACAAAGGTAGATTGATTAAAACAAGAATGAATTTTGTGCAAAAGCTTTGTTATTGTTAGACTCATCCTTTCTCTTCTCTGATTTGCTAGGCTATGGGATCAGCTGTAAGACCCTTCAGTGTCTTTCATCTGTTTTAACCCTAACATTTTAACTCACATTTGCTTTTATCATAACATTAATCACATTCAAGGTTTTTCAGATCCAATTTATTGGGTCATGGGGCAGTTACCATTCTGTCTATTTCCAGCTGGACAGAAATGTGTGCCAGAAGTGTTCCTCGGTGGAGTTTATGCTAAGGAGAGGTGGTGTGTATAGTTTACAGAGCCAGGGATTTCTGGTGATGTAGAAGCCTCCAGTAGAAGGTCAAGGATTGGCATCCTGTAGGAAGCATCAAGACATAAAACAAAATGCTAACAGTGCTATCCAGTGTAGGGTATGGTACCTTAGAATGTCTTGGAATAATGGGCCAATTTACCATTGTACAACAGTTTGTTGAATTCTGGAAGAAACAAATATAACAATTTGATTTTATTCATTTAATTTTATATGTATGGGTGTTTTGCTTGCATGTGTATCTGTGCACCCTGTGTGTATATCTTGTGTCCGTGGAGGCCACACATGATCCCTTGGAACTGGATGGCTGTGAGCCACCAATGTACATTCTGGGAATCAAAAGCACACCTCTCAACCCCTGAGCCATCTTTCCAGCACACTAATTAGCAACTGTTCTAGGAGGATAATAGTAGTTGGGAGCTATGGACATGGCAGCATGGATGGTTCATGTATTTGCATCTGACCTTGGAGCCCCTTTGAGAATAATGTAAGACCTCCATTACTATATTGTTGTGTTAGGTTTTTCTTGCTTCTCATTTTGAGTGTTTTTTGGAAAATTGGGTTTAACCCTGGATAAGTGACTCTAGTTAGTAATTTCCTAGAATTTGATAGATGACTCCTATTAAATTGACCAAAGCTGAATTATGTTTTGGGTTATACCTCACTGTTAGGTGTTTAATACCACATAAATAGCCATATATAAGGGGTTTTTGTTTTGTTTTGTTTTATTGGTGTTTTGCCTGTATGTATATATGTGAGAGGGTGTTGGATCCTGGAGTTAGACTATGGTGAGCTGCCATGTGGGTGCTGAGAATTGAACCTGGGTCCTCTGGAAGAGCAGCCAGCGCTCTTAACCACTGAGCCATCTCTCCAGACTCAAGGGTATATATAATTTTTGTTTGTTATATTTTAAAAGTCAGCTGAGATTCCATAAATGCTACTTTGAGAACTTGAGATTCTCTGGATATTTAGTATCTCTTCCTCTCTCTCTCTCAGTAGATACAGGAGTGACATGGCTGGGAAGATAGAGGAATATAAGGCAGGAGGAGACAGGAGCTCATGGCATTCAGTTTGAGGATTAGCAGAGACAGGAACAACCCTTTGGTGTGAGGATTCGGTAGAAATAAGAACTAGTAAATGACTGCTGTTTCTCTGATCTTTAAGCTTAACCCCTATATTTAACTCCCTGGGTTATTATTATTAGTTTTGGTTTTTTGAGACAGGGTTTCTCTGTGTAGCTTTGGAGGCTGTCCTAGAACTCGCTTTGCAAACCAAGGCTGGCCTCGAAATCAGAGATCCGCCTGCCTCTGCCTCCTGAGTGCTGGGATTAAAGGTGTAGACCACCATTGCCTGTTTCTAGGTTTTTATTATTTGTGCTACATAGCTTAGTTCTTCTTTTCATTTCCTGTATGTCCTTGCACTTAAACCAGTGATCTCCTG